GAGACCTGGGGAACTTCAAGGAGGGGAAGGCAAAGCCGTACTGTGGACGAGCTCATTAGCCAGCACCCCCACCCCCCCACGAGGAGGAGGGCGGGCGGCCCAGGGAGCGTGGCGGCAGAGGCGGCAGAGAAAAGGCTGTCACTGTCCTTTCTTCCTTTTGGTACAAGCATCTCCCTGAGCCGACGATTCTCCTGCAGTGACACCTCTCACGGGAGCTAATGAGATCCGTGTCACGGAGCTAATGCGCTCTGACTGGACTCTTGATAGACACCCTACTCCTTCAGGGGAGACCACAGGCCAGTACTGCCCCCCTGGGGCCAGGCCCCCACCTTGCCTCCTACCAGCCCAGCTCTTTTTGCCAAACCATGCTGGGTAACAAGCTCCTGAGAGTCCACTTGGTGTCTGGCCATCCCTCCTTACCATGAGCCTCAGAGGGACCCTCCTCAGGCCCTGAGCAGAGGGGCTAAGAGACCAGGGCAGGACCACCCAGCTGGGCATCAGGGAAGGTTCCAGTTCTTCTCTCAGCCAGCTGAAATCAGCAGTCTGTGGGGCCTGATGTCCCAACAACAGGTGAGATTTTACTGACATTTCCTGTGCAGATTTCTGGGTCCTGCTGTTAGAGAGATCAAGTATGGAGGGCCTGAACATCACCCCCGACAAACTGTGAGTGGGGTCCAAGGATGTATTTTGTACATGCACACCGGGAAGTCCAGGCAAGATTCCCAGAAGAGGTGGCCCCTGGAAAATGGGCAGGATTTTCCTGGTCAATGAGGTGGAGAGCAAACAGATCAGAGTAAGAACTGTCAGAGCCAGGAGGAGGTCAGAAGCCAAGAGTTGCTGGGCTCTGGCTCTGAGGGCAACTGTAGCAAGCTTTCTTCCTCAACAAGGCTTTGTCGAGGCCTGTATGTTTCACACTAACTGAGGGAAACGAGGGAAGTGAGCTTGTGTTCCTCCTCATTGTCTCTGTTGGTAGCACAAAGCCCGACACCAAAAAGGTGCTTCGTAGTTCAGTACAGCAGTGAGAACACAGACTCTGCACTCACATGGACCTGGGTTTGAGTCCTGGCTCTTCAATTCACCTGGCTGTGTGACCTCAGGCAAGTCACTTAACTGAGTCTCAGCTTCCCAGTCTATAAAATGGGAATGATAATGCCTGCCTTCCATAAAACTGGTGTGAAAATTACATTAGTTAATAAAAAGTACCCCCAAATACATGCTGACCCTCTGCAGAAACACAAGAAGTACCATACAGCACTCCGAAGTCCCCCGTGGAGGCTGCCCTGCCTCTAAGCCTTTGGTCCACAGCAAGGATGCAGACGGAGTCCACTGACCGCCGGCCATCAGCAGTCCCGCGTACATGCAGTCCCTCTTCACCCACAGCCCGCTCCACACCACCCTGTTCACTGGGCTCGCAAGGCCAAATCCACCACCTCAGGAGGAAGCGTCCCTCTCCTGACTAAGAGGCCATGCCGACAGCCCCCGACACCTCTTTTCTGCCTGGAGCTCCACGACCTCCATTCCTGAACCTACCTTTCCCTTAGCTGCCAGGGCCAACTGTACCTCTGCTGACGACCATACCTGAGCTCCGTGGGGGCAGGGCACTCTGTCATTTTCACCAGTACACCTGTCACGGCTCCTGACACATCGCAGGTGTAAGGTAAACGTTCACTGACTGGTCCTCTGCCTCCATTCCCAGGGCCACTGCTGGCTCTGAATTAACCGCCGCCTCCATGCACCTCACTGAGCTGCCCCTTCTGCAGTTTCTCCTTGCTACTCCTCCCTGTATAAACTCTCAGACGGCTCAAATTGAAGCCCAACTCTGACCAGGTCACCGCTCTGCCAGGATCTGCCCCCGCCCCCGGCTCCCCCGCAAACAGTTCAGCCATGCACATCCATCCCAGCGGGCCCTCTCCCCTTCCACAGCCTACCTCCCAGCCCTCCAGCACGCCTGCCCCTTGCTCTCTCAGGGCCACCACACCCGGTGCTCAGCAGGAGTCCCCACCAGGTAGGCCCCACACACGCTCCCTGCCACCCATACCTTAGAAAGAGACTCAGTAGATCTCTCTAGGACCTAGGATCATCAGTGATTTGTGCACAGAGCCGCTGCCTAGCCCCCTCCATGGCACCGTGGGAGAGCCAAACGGGTCCCAGAGATGGCTAAGCTGTGGGATCTGCAGAACCCTTGCCCAGCATCACCAATGCTGCCCCCCCAACCAATATGCACACCACTCCCCACTTCAGGCTGGCAGCTCCTCACGCAGTTAATTAGCACTATGTCACTGAGGACCAGCCTGAGTGGCCAGTGACAGGAGCTGACCCTTGACCCCAGGGCTGGGAAACAGTCCACATCAAACTCTTACAGCGCGACCCTTTTAGCACGCACAGTAACTCGGGGCACCGCCAGCTGAAGCTCATTAAAGCTGTCTCTTTGGTGCGAGGGCCATTAACCTCTACTGCTCAAAACCAACGCCTCCCCTCCCCGCCTCTCCCAGCCCAATTAATGCCCTGCATCCTCCCTCCCCTCCAAACACCCTCACCCACACCTCAGAGCCAGCTGGGAGCGGGCAGGGCAGCCCTCTGCGTTCAAAGATACAAAGCCCCAGTGCCAGGAACCCCCAGGGCCCTGGGGAGGCCATGGTGTTGGCAGGGCCACAGAGGAGGGGGCTGCTTGAGCACCTACTGTGTGCCAGGCCAGGCACTGCACAAGCCCCTTACACGAGCAGCTTCACTGAACCTCCCCAACAGCCCTGACAGGCACTGGCACTGTCTCCTGTCTGAGGTCACAGGGCTCTGGGTGGTAGAGCCAGAACTTCCTCTGGCTCCAAAGTACTTACTCCATTGTCACTTGTAACCTTAGACTGTCCCCTGTGGCCTGGCCAGACGGAAAAACCTTCTTCCCTGGAGAGAGAAGGAACGCCTCAGGAGTCCTAACAGAGAGGGAAGAAGGAACCACTTCCTCTCACAAACAGACCCTGGGCCGCATCCACAGACACAGGGCGCCCAGCTCAAGGCCAACCCAGCCCCGCTGGTCCCTCTAGCAGCCAGACTCAACTACTGGCAGCCCCTGCCCGCCTGGGCCAGTGCAAGTCCTCTCACTGATCCGCACTGTCTGGTCCCTCCCTTTCCCATCCCTCTGTCACTGATTCATCTACTCATTCATTCAGCGCGCCCCCCTCCCCGAAGTGTCTACTAAGCATCTATTCAGCACGTGCAGTGCGCCCTGCCCCGTCAGTTCTGAGCAGGAGCTCTGAGAGTGCTGTCCTCTCACTCACAAACCTCTTTTCTCCTCAGAACCTCACCAAAGAGCCAACCCTTTAACCTGGCATTCAAGACCCACTTACTTCCCCATTTCTTTTCCAGCTGTTCCCTGACCCAAGTGTCCCTCCCACTCCAGTCACAGCAAACTACGTGTAGGTGTCTAAGTTGTCTTCAATGTGCCCTTGTGCTTTTGTACGCACAGCTGCCCTTCAGTAGAAAACCCTTCCCTCATTTTTCTACCTAGCAAACTCCTACTCATCCTTCAAGAATCTCCTGACTCAAGTGTCTTTCTTCTCTAGGAAACTCCCTGCTCAGCTTCCAAGCAGATCAGCTTGCTAGGCTTGGGGTCTCCTCTAGGTTGTATGGACGAGCTCCTGTGGAAGGCAACAGCAGTTTTTGTGGGGCACCCCCAATTCCTTAGACCTGTTGACTGCTTCCTCTCCCCCAACCTGCCGGGCCCCAGAAGAGCCTTGGGGTGTCCCAACAAGAAGGATACAGGGCATCCCTGAGGTAAGTGAGATGTAAATAAAGAAGCAGAAGTGACTTTGGCACCCGAGGACAGGAGAATCCTCCCCTGGGGCAGCCTAGGTGTTCCTATCACGGCCCTTAGTACCGTGGGTACCCAGTTCAGTGTCTATCTCGTCCTAGGATGTCACCTCCTTGAGGACAAGAATCTCCACCCAGCATGCCCAGCACCTACTAGGCACCAGTGATCTCTGTAGAAAGGATGAAGGGCTAGTCTGTGACAGGTGACTGGGTCCTTTTGGTGTATCCTGCCGGTCCCTCTGCCGCCATAGCTCCCCAAAGGTACACAGTTTATGATAATGTCATACCACCTCCCAGGAATAACCCCCCCACCCCCGCTCCTCCCCACTTGGAACAAAGCCTATGCTTGTCAAGTACCCCGCTTGAAAGCATTTGCATGACGTGTGCCCACACACAGAAAATCAGATACACAGAAATGAACAGACACTTTCTGGTGGATACACACACAGGCTGATGGTTGCTTCCATATACAGATGAATGCCCTCAGGAAAATCAACCCAGATATATTGTTACACTCACTCACTCACACACACACGCCCCCCAATACTGATATATCCGAAGTTAGCAGAGCTTCCAATGCCTAGAACCACAGCCACTCCATCCCCCTCCCAAGCAGGGATCCCTCTGAGGGTGCACCCCCACCTGGTACCCCAAATGGCCCCTCCCAACCCCGGCACCGCTCAATGGAGGCTGTTCCTCCTGCGGGGGAGTCAATATCCTGTGGACGGAGCCATCGGTCAGAAGGACCCCGACTAATTAAAAGCTGGTGAGGTTTAAATAATTCATCTCCTTAACTCCCATTGATCGCCCAGTTTAGTAGCCACAGACTTGAAACAATATTAAACAGCCTCCTCTATCTCCACGGGGGTGGGTAAGCTGACATGTGCCCACCCCTCTGAGGACATCACCCACCAGAGATGCAGGCAGGGTTGAGGGTAGCTTGGCCTGAATCCAAGGCCACCTGTGACCCACCCAAAGCCCAGACCCCAGTCTCCTCCTAAACAGTGTTTTGAGAGATCTCTTCCAATGGTCTGGTTCCACTCTCCCCTATGCCACCCTCCTTCCCCACCCCCCCCACCTATGGAAAGCATCCCGTTAGAGCATAGAGCCACAGAACCCCTCTGTGTGCCAGGGGACTGGGGCATGCGGGCAGGGGGCTGACTGAGCTGCCAGGGGGTATATGTGGAGGGACTGACCAATGCCGCTGTGGGGCCGGCCTATGTGTTGCAGGCTGAGGCCCTTGTTCATGTCTAGAAGTCCATTCTTGGGCCAGCAGCCCATGGCGAAGCTGTAAGCCTGGAAGACAGGAGGCAAGAATGGTTAACAGAGGCCCTGACCCCCAATACTCACCACCTCCACCCTCCAGCCAAATCTTCCCACTAAGGGCTTACTCTCATTATGTCACTTCATGAGAGTCCCCTCACTGGGTCCCCTTTCCACCAGGGTCCCCACCAGAAAATCCCTTCTTCTTTCAGAGCTCCTTTTATCTTAGGCATCTCTCCATCAGAGACCTCCAGCCCCCAACAGGTGCCCCCTTGCCAGGCTCCTCTAGAGAGCTCCCATTTATTAAGACCTTCCTTCTCAGGACCATCCTGTCATCAGGGCACCCCCTTCACCGGGCAGCCCTGTTAGATACCCCTCCCCCCCCAGTGTACCCAGCACTGTGTTGGGCCCCTCCCCACAGTATTGCTGGTCATAAAGCCTGGTGTCGGGAAGGACTTGGAGACCAACATATCCAAACTTCACTCTATAGATAGGAAAACTGAAGCAAGAGGGGGCCAACCACAGGCCTTTGGTCTACTTGCTTTAGACCGAGAGGCAGGCCAGGCTGTGGAAGGCTGAGTGCCATGCATGGGCTCAACTGAGGAGGAGTAAGGTCACCTGGTCGACTCAAGCAGCTGTGAGGGGAACACATGAAAAGAATGCGTGTGTGTGTGTGTGTGTGTGTGTGTGTGTGTGTGTGTGTGTGGTAGGGGGAACAGATCTCTGCTGAAGGTCAAGTACTCACTTATGCATATTCAAAGCGGCCACCCATCGATCTGTACTTAATTGTTTTCCTGGGGTTGGGGAAGGAAGTGCTGGGGGCATCGATCTGCTCAGGCCCCTAGCACTTCATTGCTCCCCTACATCTGCTACTCGCGCCACCTGGCCGCCACCAACCTCCATGGTGGGGGGCGGTACATGGCAGGACCAGGGATGGCACTTTTCTTTCACAATCCCTTACAGGCACAACTGACTTGACGTCACAGATGAGGAAACTGAGGCCCAGAAAGAAGAGACTTACAAGGGTTAGAATGCTATCAAGTGGCCCAGTGGGAACTGAATTCCTGCTCCACCTGCTAGCAAAGTCCTGGGCTTCTACCAGGGGGCTTGTGCAGCTGGCTGGCCCTTCAGACATTACCCATCCCCTCACCTTTGAAGTCCTGGAACCCCAGGCTGCCCTGCTCCCAGTGGCAGGAAGCATATGGGATAGGGTCACTAGGAATGTAGCTTGGGGGAGTTCTCAAAAGCTAGGTGGGGAGGCCACGAGGGAAACTAAGGTGGCTGCAGCCACGTTCAAACAGGCACTGCAGTGCCCCCACCCATGCCCTGGCCTGGAGGTCCCCATCCCACTAGAGACTCCCTCACAGCGGGGAGGTTCTAACACTGGGTCAGAAACCAAAGACATGAGGCTGGACACAGAGTCTGTGCTGAGGCCAAGGGGCTGGTACCCTTCCTTCCCAGCTGCAGGAACCAAGCCCCGGCTCTGCGGGTCCTTCAATCTTAGCACCCTCCCGAGCCGCTTTCCTTGACCACAGACGATACCAGCCACACCTCAACGTCCCAGCCAACCTTCCCACACTTTCCCAGGCCACGGCTGGACCCACAAATCGGGGGCTGGGTGTGAGGCTCAAGGGCAGGGGAGAGAACGCTGGCTTGCAGCCAGGGCAGAGCTGGGGGAGCGCAGGCAGCAAGGGAAAGTAGCCAGTGGGTGGTGCACAGCTGGATGAGCTGCTGAGCGTGGTCGGGGCCATGGCTGGAGCGCAGTGGGCCAGAGAGCACTGGCGGGCCGGCTTTCAAGTACTTTAAAATCACTTACAAAGGCCGGATTAAACGATCAGAAATTCCATTTAATAGGACAAATAAAGAAATGACAATCTACCCTATCAGCCTGGAGAAGGCGAGCTGGATGGGTTTTTTTCCCCCTCTAAAAAGGAAAAAGGGAAGGAAGGGGGAAAAAAGAAGGATAATGTGTGTTTACTCAAGCAAAGAAAAAAATATTTAAGTGATGTCGGGGAGAAGATTGCAGTAACTAGTGAAGAATAACATCGTCTACTTTGCTGTCAAATCACACCCGAATTTCAGTAATAGATTCTCGGCTGACACTCAATTCAATTCGAAGGTGATCCTGCTTTATCCCAGCCCATCAAATATTAAACACTTGCATTAGCAGGTGCTGCCGCTTCCCGGCTTAAAGCGGCGGGCGGGCAGCGGGCTGCTGAGGCCCCTCTGCTCTGCTCGTGGCTTGGGGACAGGGCAGCTCAACGTTATCTGCACGTCATCCTGAGTCTTATCGCAGCTAAGCGGGAAGACCACTTCAGATAACATTAGACGCTTGCCCCGATGCGTCACCGTGATTAGATTATTATTATAATTATGACTCCCCAAGATCTTCCCTAGACTGGGACATGTGGAATGGGGTGGAGGGTGGCAGCGCCCAGGAGGGCCAGGCTGGGCCTGGCTGGAACAGGGCAAGCCGGAACCCAGGCAGGAAAGCAGAGGAAGCAGGCAAGGCAGCGGCCCCGGTCCCGCCTGACGGATGCCTTTCAGGAAGGGCAGTCTAGCTTGTCGGAGCGAGGGCGAGATGAATTGGCGTCTCCAGCGTGGCAGTGGGTGTTATGCGCACAGTTTCATATTCCCAGATAAGGCATGATAACCAATTGCTGCCATGACATGGCCTCATCCAGCACTTCCTCAGGGGGGCACGGGCGGGGGGAAGGGGGCAGCACGTGCACATGGGTCTGCCAAGCTCCTAATAAGAGGGATTTAATTTTTACAAATGCTGCTTCCAGCGGGGCCTTCACATACCAGCCAAAGTCCAAAATGATATTAAAAACGGTTAATTAAAACTGCTCTCCTTCAGCCTGGTCTCTCCCCCTGCTGCCCCTGCAGCGAACCCTGGCATGTCTCTCCCAGGTACTGTCACACACCCCTGCAGAGCTGAACCTTCAGAAGTGACCACCAGCCTCGGGGCACAGTCCCACAAACTCCCTCCAACTCCTGCCATCTGAGGTACCCCTCAGTCACAGCCAGCAGACACAGAAAGCCACCCAGGGAACACAGGGTCCTACAGCAATCTGTGTTCTTACCAATGTGTGGTCTGGATCCTCACACCTGCTACCCCTCTACACCTGTACCCACATGCCCACCACCCCCAGCACTCACTTCTAAAGTCCCTCCCTGCCAGATACATACACCATCAAGTGTGCACACCCACACAGGCACCAAACTCTCCCTAGGTTACTCGGCGCATCCTTCCACTCCCCACTCCCTCCAGATGTCCCCCACAAGATTACATCCGTCTATGAATCTGAGCAGAGCCTTCCCAGGAGCCCCGCTCAGGACAAGGTGATGTGGGTTGTGTCTCAGAGATTCTGGCTGAGAAGTCAAGGCTCGGACTAGGGAACCAACAGAACAGGAAGATCAGGGAGGCTTTCCCCTGTGGCTGTCCACAGGGACAGTGGAGAGAAACAGGCCTGTGTGATGCTGGAGGCAGCTAGGAAAGCTTCCTGGAGGGAGTGGTAGTGGAGGGCTGGGCGGGGATTTGACAACAGTCCAGGCAGGAGACACAATAAGGACAAAGGAGAATGGTAGAAGCAAGCTTGGTGAGAGCACAGGCAAGGGCTTGGCTGGGGCTGGGGCAGCCCACAAGCACGGAAAGAGCCCTATCTTGAGGTGCTGGCTCCCAGCTCTGTGTACCAATGGCAACACTGGCATCAATCAAGGGACCTAATTATTGTCCATCCCCTTTCTCCCGCCTGCTTCCTTTCCCTGCTCCCTCCCTCTCTTGCCAGCCTGCAGGGTGTGGGGGTAAGGGACCTAGGAGTTTTCTGACCTCAATCAGCGCGGGGCAGGAATCTGTTTTAAGAGCTCTTGCCAAGAGCCTGTGCCCAAGCCCCCTTCCCACACTGCTTCCAAATTCTTGGGGTGCCACTTCTCCAGCTGCACCTCTCCTAGCCACCGGGGCCCACCCCCTCTCCCCCAGCTGTGGCTTCCTGGCCAAAGAGTGGGGCGGGTAGAGTTGGGGTGAAAGATGCTGGGTCTACCAAACCACCCCACCGCAGCCCTGTGCCAGGCAGGCACGCACACTTCCCTTCCCCTGGGCTGCTGTAATTTCCATGCGCGGGGAAGCAGGTGCCGAGCCGCTCCCGGCTGGCTCTTCTCTCGCGCGGCTCTGCCCGCCTTGGCTGCTGCCCCATTAGCTTAGTGGCCAGCCATCTGCGACGGGCCTGCCGCACAGCCCTGCTGTAGGCGCGGCGGGTGGCCCCCTGTGTAACAGGGAGCTTTGCCATTAGCGCCTTTAATATTCTGACACCTCAGCACAGCCTGCTATTACATGCAAACGCTGATCGCCCTGTGAAATTACATTGCTGGGCCCGCGAAATGGAATCGTGTATAATCAGCCTCCTCCATGCACTGTCAGTCCCATCACAAACACGGCGCCCGGCGGCTTACGGGGGCTTAGCAGCTGCGACAAGTGTATTGGGTTTAATAGATGAAGTAGCCCTCCTCGGCAGCAGCGTCAGATCCTTCAAAGAGGAAGGAAGAGGCATCGAGGGCTGCTAGGGTGTCTCTGCCCACCCACTCACTACCTGCCAGGGCCCTGAGGGTGGGGTGGCCACGGCGTGGGCAGGGTAGCGGATGCGGTTAGAACCCAGCTCAGACTCCACACAGAAGCACAGACTGCTCTGTAACTTCCAGAAAACCCAGAGCTTCCAAGCTGGAACCAGCACATTGGACCTATCCAGCTTCCTCATGAGGTGAGGAGGAGGAGGCCTTTAACCAGGCCTCTGGGTGACATGTCACCTGGTGGACCTAAGGCTGATGGGTCATTTCCCAAGATGAGGAAATAAATCAAATCACCTGCCATTCCCACAAACACCCAACAGATGAAGCTGTAAGGGTGATACTCCGGAGGATGGGGGGAGAGAAAGTCTGACAGACATAACTACTACTTAATTCCTTATCTAATTGGCCAGCACTTCTATAGCTGGTGGAGCCAAGTACCAAGGACACAGGTAAGCACGAGGATGGCA